AATCCATGTCAAGTTTGCACACTATCGATGTCCAGCTCTGCTGTCATTTCACTTCTCTAAGAGACTAATACCTTCTTCTTCTTTATCTTTCTTAACTTCCTCCAAGGAAACCTTGCTAGAAATCAAGTCTGGCCAGTTTTGCTAGTTCTTGCCTTAAGTATAAGTGCTATCTTTAAAATCATAGAATCCTGCATGCTAGTCTGAGATGTTTTTAATTAGGCCAAAACATGTCTTAGCCTGAGAATGTATCTGCATAATTCTAGGTTTTAATATATAAGACAGCTAGCCAAGAGAATATTATATGTGGATTTTTGTTGTTAAACCTATTGAAACTAACTTAACTTGATTCTCTGTAAAAATCTTTCTCCTACCTCCTGAAATCTTTTAATTAGATACTGCTCTGAGTATGCCAACAATCGCTTGACATTCTGTTGTTTTTAGCTCATGGTTACCTACATTTCTCTCCTATTTCTTCTCTTGTTATTCCCACCACTTACTACAACCCCAAAGAGCTTCTTTGTGCCTTGTTTTATGTAATCAGGAAGAATGACTCTGCTCTGGTATGAAGGAGAATCATTCCAAATCTAACAAGAACCGTTCAGTTTTCAGAACCTGAGAAGGAGACCATTAGTCACAGTTTTGAGGGCCATCACTGCCAGAGGCCTCTTGCAGTAGCCCTTGCTGAAAGAAGGAAGGGCTTGTGTGAGGACTCAGGCAAGGGGGTGCCCAGGTTGCCCTTCCCTTGGCCAGATGTGCCCACACTGTGCCACTGAGCTAGAAAGCCAGCACAGACTCTCTGTCTTCCTTAAGATGCCAAGAGGAGGAAACACACACTTTTCCTGAAAAAAAAAAATGGTGGGGGTGGTGGGTTATAGGCCAAGTGCAGTGGCTCATGCCTGTAATCCCAGCACTCTGGGAGGCCGAGGCAGGCAGATCGCCAGAGGTCAGGAATTTGAGACCAGCCTGGCCAACATGGTAAAACCCTGTCTCTACTAAAAATACAAAAATTTGCTGAGTGTGCTGGTGGGAGCCTGTAATCCCAGGTACTTGGGAGGCGGAGGCAGGAGAATTGCTTGAGCCTGAGAGGCGGAGGTTGCAGTGAGCCGAGATCGTGCCATTGCACTCCAGCCTGGGCAACAAGAGCGAGACTCTGCCTCAAAAAAAAAAAAAAAAAAAAATGGGTTGTAAATCATGGTGCAAGTCTATAGTACTATGGGTTCTCTATAACTCCTGTACTTAGGTATTATGTTGGGTTGTCCTGGGAGGACACTTCAGTGCCAGTCTTTTTTTTTTTTTTGCGATGGAGTCTAGCTCTGTCTCCCAGGCTGGAGTGCAATGGCGCGATCTCGGCTCACTGCAACATCCACCTCCCAAGTTCAAGTGATTCTCCTGCCTCTTAGCCTCCCGAGTAGCTGGGATTACCCACCACACCCAGCTAATTTTTGTATTTTGGGTAGAAACGGGGTTTCACCGTGTTGACCAGGCTGGTCTTGAACCCCTGACCTCGAGTGATCCACCAGCCTTAGCCTCCCAAAGTATTGGGATTACAGGTATGAGCCACTGCACCTGGTCTGCCAGCCTTCTTTTGAAAACCTTTAACTTAGCCAGGCATCGTGGCTTATGCCTGTAATCCCTGTGCTCAAGCACTTTGGGAGGTTGACCCCAGGAGTTCAAGACCAGCCTGAGCAACATAGTGAAACCTCATCTGTTAAAGAAATGTAAAACCTGTCACTGGTTTCTGAGTATGCTTTTATTTTGAGGATGTCCAGGGCCACTGGCCAGCTCTACCTGTGTGAAGTAGAAAAAGCCACCCTTCCCCATAGGCAGGGGAATACAGTCTCATGCCAGGGCACTTGGCTTGTCTGGCGTGCTTACGTAGTAACAGCCAGCGCAAGTGTGTGTGTGGCTGCCTGGTGGCTATATCGGTGAGTGTGGCTGCAGGGTCACTATAGTTTAGGAAATAGTTTGTCCTTGATGCCTCTTGATATTACTTCCAGACAATGATAGCCAGGGAGTGCAAGGAAGTTACAGAGAGATAAGGCTGGTGATTATCACAAATTCTTCAGAGAAAGGCAATAATGGGTGGAGAAAAACAAAGGCTGCTCTGATCTTTGGTGTGTCTCAGCTTAAATTTCCCTTCCTCACAGAGATCTTCTTTTGTCAACCCCCCTAGAGTGAAATGCTGGGTTTTTTTGTCTTCTTACAAGTGACACTTACTTGTATTTGTGTGGTTATCTTATTTATTAACTATCTTTTCAAATATTTCTGTGAGGTGGTTACCAATATATCCCCAACCCGTAGCTAACTACTTGACATGGAGTTGGCACTTACTAGACATTTGTCAAATGAAGAAATGTCTTTAGCAGCGTCTGGCCATGGCAAGGCAGGGAATATGAAGGGAATCTAAAATCACAAGAAGACAGAGGACGCATGACAGCCCTTGTTCAGAGGGATGCAGTCTATTTGGTTTCTCGTGCCACAGGCTTTCTTCAATCCTGTCACCTTTTTGCAGATAGGAGTTGGCGGGCAGTTGATGTTTCATTGTTTGTTTTTAGCTACCATCCACTGAGAATGTCAGGCACTGTGCTAAGGACTTCATTTACATACATTAAGTCATCCAACCTGCACAACAAGTACTCTGTGAAGTATGTTTAATTATTATCCTATTTTACAAATAAAGAAACAGACTTGGAGGGTATGGCAGGGGTGGGGTTTGTGTGTGTGGTTATGTAACTAACACAATAAATGGCAATGCTAAGACTCAAACCCAGATCTATCTAACCCCAAATGATGCACTCTTATCTCTTCAGGTCTTGTTTACTTTGTAAAATATGTGCTTTGGTTTCAGATCCTGAATTAATGCATTCTTAAACATTATATTGCCTTCACTTTGAACAAAGTGATATGAGGCAAGAGATTCATAATGCAAATGCCTATGACCAACTTGCTTACCCTGCATCTAATGGCCCATCTACATTTGGTCTTTCTGGATTGTGACCTAATCTAGTAAGTCTTGGCCTCCATATTCATTTCCTTATTTTGCTCCCTTCATTGGTGCTCACTCCCCATATTTCAGGCAAAGAGCCACTGCACAGTGACTACAGCCCCCAGACAGATGTAGGCTGTTTTTGTAGGCTGTTTCTTACCCTAAGCCAGGAACATGGGGGTCTGGTTATGTAGTTCAACAGGGAACAATGCTTAGTCTTCCAAGTTGAGGAGTTTCTCTTTTTTTTCACTTTAGAATTTAACTGGCCAGGCGTGGTGGCTCACACCTGTAATTCCAGCACTTTGAGAGGCTGAGACGAGTGGATTGCTTGAGGTCAGGAGTTCTAGACCAGCCTGGGCAACATGGCAAAACCCTGTCTCTACAAACAATATAAAAATTAGCTGAGCATGGTGGCACCTGTAGTCCCAGCTACTGGGGAGGCTGAGGTAGGAGGATCACCTGAGCCTGGGGAGGTTAAGTCTGCAGTGGACCATGATTGTGCTACTGCACTGTAGCCTGGGTCACAGAGTGAGACCCTGTCTCAAAATATATATACTCTCTCTCTCTCTATATATATACTCTATATATATACTATATATATACTCTATATATACACACACACACATATGTTTATATATTACACATATATATATTCTGCAATGAACATGGGAATGCAGATACTTCTTTTACATATTGATTTCATTTTCTTTGACTATGCACCCACCCAGTAGTGGGATTGCTGAATCATATGGTAATTCTAGTTTCAGTTTTTTGAGGAACCTCTATACTGTTTTCCATCGTGGCTGTATTCATTTACATTTCCACTATCAGCACAGCAGCGTTCCCTTTTCACCACACCCTTGCCAACACTTATAATCTTTCGTCTTTTTGATAATAGCAATTCTAAAACATGTGAGGTGATATATTATTGTGGTTTTAATTTTCATTTCCCTGAGGTTTAATGATGCTGAGTATTTTTTTATGTATCTGTTGGCCATCTGCTTGTTTTCTTTTGATAAATATGTATTTTGGTCCTTTTGCTGTTTTTTTGATTGGGTTAATTGTTTTCTTGCTACTGAGTTGTTTGAGTTAGGAGGTGGTATCTGATATCATTTCAATTAAGAATCCTTCCAGACCATACCCTCCTTGAAGGTGCCACATACAATTGTATCAGGCTTCAGTGGTTTCTCTTTTGGGCATTACTTCTCTCTCATCCACCCTTTCATCCTAGTTTCCTTGCCAAAAGAAGAAAGAAATGGGAAGAAAAACACTTTTCTTTGTCTTCAAATGCAAAATGTACTTTTTGTCCTAGGGCCAATAAGGTCAACAAAGTAAGCATGAAATATTATACTCAGGGTAGGAGCATAATGCATGCTATGAGAAAGTGATACAAACCCTGCAAGATTTCAAAGGGATCTTTCACTGGGAGAAAAAGAAAAAAGTTGAGGTTGGGTGGGTGGGAATATGATTTAAAGAAGAGGAAAAGCCAGACTGTGTGTTGGGTGCGTTGCCAGTTTGCTATAGTCATGGTGTTGTAAAACAAATCAGTCCATAAGACCTTGTTTTATTTATTTAATCAAGTAATCACAGTGTCTCTGAAACTGTTAGATGCAAGCACAGAAATAGAAGTATTTATGAAGTCAGACTTGCAATTGCCAGGAAGTAGTAAAGAATGCCAATGTATTCTCTGCTACCTGTGTAAGTCCTAAGGGAAAGATGAGCTCATGAATGCATATATAGAGATTATTACAAGGTTGAATTAAAATACATTAAATATAGAAGTGGGTATAATCCCCTGAGGATATTCAACATAAAAAGAACAGCTGAAGAACAACCTGAAGCTTTAAAAGTAGGGGAATCTAAGATCCTCACTGGCTGGAGAAAACAGTTACTACACACCCTTCCAGGAAAGCACTTTATATAAAGTTTGGTGTTTGAAAGCCTTAGCTGATCTAAGTGAATACAAATTTAAGAGACGGGACTTGCTTTATCCTTCTATTTGTGGTCTCCACAGCCCCTGGACCTGAGAGGCTTCAATAATTGTTACCTGAGTTGGACTGAATTGAAATAAAGAAGCAAAGATCCTACATCATCTATTGAAATCTTTAAAGGGTAAGTTTCTTTTCTTTTTTTTTTTTTTAAACCATTTGTTAAATGGTATAGTATATACTATTGGTTAAACAGTTGGACATTTCTTTTAGTATTTGATTTTTGGGTAACAATGTCTTCACTCATCCTGGAGTCAGTGCAAAGAGTGACAGACATGCCCTCCATCCACACACCAGAAGTGTCATATTTAGGGAGTGTGCCATTCAGTAAATCTTTGGTGTGTTACTAAATTGACATCAACAGGGGACTCAATGGGGACCAAAAGTAAATTTTAAAGACCTTAAAACAGAATGAAGTGGCTACCAGTTAAAAGGAAGAAATATGTAGATTCACACAAAGGAATAGAAAAAGAAAATGTGACTTAAAACTAAGAGAATGCTGAGACAATGACTAGCATTAAAAATGGAGAATCGGGAACAAGAAGGAAATTTATGTGCCCAAACAGACTGGTTTAAGAAGCATAATGTGGAGCAAAGGCTGTATGCAAAAGTAAGTCAAAATGATTGAAAAGAGATGGCCCCTCTCCAAATTTAGCCAACATAAGACATTCCTTTTGATAGAAAATGACCACTCTAAAAAATGTTGAAAGGAGAATCACAAAAGTAAACAATAAGAAAAAACATTTTAGAATAATGGAGGAAAAAAATTACAGTGCATAGGTATACATTATTAAAATTTCAGGAATGTCTATTTACTGCAATAACATATCATGAACAAAATAATGAAGACAAGGTCTTGAAAGAAAGAAATACTGGATGTTGTTTTTCTTTTTCTTATAATCTCTGGACCTAACCAAACATATATGGATGGAGGTTAACTGCTTATGAGTACATTTAGAATCACAACCAAACTCATCCTTAGATAATTCTGAAGCACAAATACAACCACCACAAACTTGAAAACCTGGATAATTCTACCGGAAAGTCAAATGAGCCTTCATTATTGAAAGAAGCCATTTTCATTCTATGAAATAATTTAAAATTCTGAGTTACTTACCCTCAGGCAAACTGAGAATTTTAATAGTAAGAAGAAAATAACAAAGCACACCACCTTGGAAATCTGCATATCTTTAACTACAAAGAATCATTGACAATACAGAAACAAAAGGACCAGGCACAGTTCTTTGAGTGACAAATTATGATTTAATTTAAAAGTAAATAGACTAATTTCAGACTATAATTTTCATGAAAAAATAAAGCACCAAGAATTTAAATCTTTTTCAGAACTTTTCTTCCACACAAAGAAAATAAAATCAGGGAGAAGCCCAGTAAAGAAAGTTTTTAGTCAGCTTTTGGATTTTTTAGTGTAAAGAACTGGTTATGAGGGTATAAATTTACTAACAGCTGGATTTTAGTCTGCTCATTTAGGTTTCATTTTGTATAAGCAGAACATCTTGTATTTGCAGGTTTTTGTTTTTTGTTTGTTTTTCAAGTGATTCTGTATTTAGGATCAGTTAGGCCATGAAAGGGTTTATTCTTGCTTTCTTGTTAATTGTAAAATAACAAACATTAACCAATTTGCCCTTAGGCTAAAGACAAGCAAATGTAATTCCGTACCCAGCTTTAAAAATTCTTTTGGTTATGTTATCATTTGGCATTCTAACTATCCTTTTCACTGACTTTACTTTTTACTGCATCATCTTAAATGTGTAAATTTTATTTTTTTGCATGTTTGAATCCATATTGACAGTGATGTAGATGCTTATACATGCTTTGAGAAAATTTATGTACTGTGTGTGTGTGTGTGTGTAATTTATTTTAAAAATCAACATCTATCTCATGTGCACCTATTTGGAAGTATGCATCTAATACATCGAGGCATACTCTGTGCTACACTAAAAGAAGAGTAATCAATCTTTGCCCTCAAGGAGGTTACCATCTATTTTAGCTGATTTAATATATCATGTATGTTCTGTCATAGGATAAAAGAACAATTTAGCTTTGTGTGTGTTGAGTAAGAACCTTGTCTGAGCAACAGTAAGATAAAATGGTTTTGGAGTTAGGTGAATCTGAGCTTGAAACCCAGCTGTGCACACTTAGTACCTTTGTTCCTTCATTTTTTATTTTATTTTTCGAGATAGGATCTCACTCTGTCACCCAGGTTGGAGTGCAGTCGTGCGATCTTGGCTCACTGCAGCCCCAATCTCCCGGGCTCACGCGGTCCTCTCACCTCAGCCTCCCCAGTAGCTGCAATTACAGGTGTGTGCCACCACATCTGGCTAAGTTTTTGTGGTTTTTGTAGAGATGGGTTTTTGCCATGTTGCCCAGGCTGGTCTAGAACTCTTGGGCTCAAGTGATCTACTCGCCTCAGCCTCCCAAAGTGCTGGGCTTACAGGTGTGAGCAGTCATACATACCTGGCCAACTTTTGTTCTTTCAAGTCTGAGATGTCCACTTATAAAATGAAGATACTAACTTTTAGCTTATAGAGGTGTCATGAGGGCTAAGTGCAGTAATGTATACAAAACACCTAATACATAGGCCCTAAGTTTTAAATTCTCTTACCCCATACATATTATTTAAATGAAATGTTCAGGTTTAGCATTGTCCATTATTGTCTCTATTCATTTTGGTCTAGGATTTCTAAATCGATTTCATAAAAGCAGCCAGGCCATAATTGGCAGCACTTTTGAGGGGTGAATGAGACAGTGAGCTAGTGTTAACATTTCAGACAGGAGGTAGGAACGCCAGAGCATGAAGCTCAAGGCCCAAGCTGAAGCCTTCTAAGCATTCATCACCAGCCACAGCCTCTACTGTCTGAAATAACCTCCCACGGCTGGGGAGTGCCCAGTGGGAGAATAGGAGAAATGCCTTCATCGTGTGCCTAAAAAGCCTGGAAAGAAGAAAAGCAGCTATGAAGGCAGGGATCTGTTTTGCAATAGCTTTTTGAAAAAGAAGAGCACATAATTTTTTTTTTTTTTTTGAGACGGAGTCTCGCTCTGTCGCCCAGGCTGGAGTGCAGTGGCCGGATCTCAGCTCACTGCAAGCTCCGCCTCCTGGGTTCACGCCATTCTCCTGCCTCAGCCTCCCGAGTAGCTGGGACTACAGGCGCCGCCACCTCGCCCGGCTAGTTTTTTGTATTTTTTAGTAGAGACGGGGTTTCACCGGGTTAGCCAGGATGGTCTCGATCTCCTGACCTCGTGATCCGCCCGTCTCAGCCTCCCAAAGTGCTGGGATTACAGGCTTGAGCCACCGCGCCCGGCCCACATAAATTATATCAAAAGAGTTCCACTAGAAATAAACACTACGGCTTCTTATCCTTTTACTCCCGATCTACCAGATTAAGCTGTTGGTTTTTCCCAGAAAGAACACAAAAGAAAGTCTAACCAAATGTATGTCGTTCATACCTGAATGGCACTTCTGCCCACAGTCTTCTCTCTTGTTGAGCAATATAGAAAGTGAGCTTGAGGCCAAACTGTAATTCTCTACTTGAAACCCAGATCATCGATTTCCTCTTTGTCTTCTTGGTCACTCTGCAGCCATCTCCCTCAAAAGAAAATCAGAGTACCCCCTACAACTGCTGAGGAGACACCAAGCAATTCTAAAATGTAACTGAAGTCCCCCAAACCTCCTAGTTTTGGGGGTGTTTCGTCATTCTTTAGTTTCCCTCCTATGCCTAATGAGAGAGGGAACTTTAAAAGAAAAACAAGTTGCCCATTCTTTCGTCCCCTGGGGAAGGGGTTGTTTTCTGTATTTTTTAAAGTGGGAATTCTCTTTCTTAAGAATTCCACTTTTGTTGAACCGGTTGACATGTTGGTGGCGGCTTTCTAACTTGGACTTTTTTCCCTCTACTGTGAGTTTTCTTTTAATTTCATTATTGAAATTTTAAATTGTGGAACAATCTAGATATAGGAAAGTATGCAAATCATATTATACCTCAGTGAATGTTTATGCATTGATATACCTGTATACTTCACTCAACTCAAGATCTAGCACATTTTTAGCCCACAGAAGGCTCCTGGGGCCCTTTCCCAACCAATAACTCCTCCCTGGTAAGCTTTGCTATTACCTTCATGTGAGTGGAACCATAAACTACGTACTTTCATGTGTCAGTAATTTGTTCCTTTATAGCATAGTATTCCATTGCATGAATGTACCACAACATATCCTTCCCTTTTGATGAATCTTATTGCTGAATATTGCTGTTATAGGTGAAGATGCCTTGAACATCTCCACTGTGGATTCTTAATTTTTTCATGCCACTCTCTGTAGAAATTGTGAGAAATAAAATTCTGCAAAGGGTTTACATGTTCCCAGCTAATCTTGCTCCATGTTGGTTTGGTTACTTTGGCACCAGAATTTAAAGGAAGATGAAAATTCTCTGTGCATGCCCCTATAGTCCCAGCTACTCAGGAGGCTGAGGCAGGAGAATCGCTTGAACCTGGGAGACGGAGGTTGCAGTGAGCAGAGATCATGCCACTGCACTCCAGCCTGGGCAGAGCAAGACTCTGTCTCAAAACAGACAAACAAACTCCTCTGTAGTCCCAAATTTTAGAAAAGAGAGAGATTACGAGGTGGCAGGCGCCTGTAGTCCCAGCTACTCGGGAGGCTGAGGCGGGAGAATGGCATAAACCCAAGAGGGGGAGCTTGCAGTGAGCTGAGATCCAGCCACTGCACTCCAGCCTGGGCGACACAGAGAGACTCCGTCTCAAAAAAAAAAAAAAAAAAAAGAAAGAAAAAAAGAAAAGAGAGAGAAAGAGAGGGAGGGAGGGAGAAAAAGTGAGAGGGAGGAAGGATGAGAAAATGTATAGGCATGTTAGTACAAAACTTTAAATTCATAAATTCCCATTTTATGGAGATATCTGATCATCTTAATCTGCAATGACTAAATAAGTAATGCTTACATGATTATAGACTTCTTTTCCTCACTTTTGGAAATACTTCATGCCCTCTGGAAATTCTTTAAAAAAGCTTTGTTGTATCCCTTTAAAAAGTGATAAAATCATAGTGTCTAGTGCAAATTTTAGGGCAAAGTTCAGTAGGTAATTTGGTTGACTTTGAGTATTT